TATAGAGTAGAGTATATATAGCGTCACCTGGGCGCATCATGATTCCCAAAATAAAGCCAAAAAATTAAGGAATGTTATTGGAAATGTGACGTCTGACTTGAACTCCTGCCTTAATTTCAGATCGTTCAAGAGGGCTATTACCCCATAAATAGATATCCAACCCGTGTTAAGGATGTCTAAATTTAAGGTTCATTCGCTAACACTTTCAATACAAGTATTTCCAGATAACGTCATACTTTATGATACTCCACAAATGTTTCGTCTATTTAATGCACGTGAACTAAAGGTTTCACCCACCCTTTCCCACCCTAATCGAAAGCTTGCTCATTTTTCGGTCAAAAATCAGAGGCAGAAAGATTCTAATTATGCTTGAATATAACAAGAGACATCCCGCAATCGCCGGAGCCACTGGAGATCGTGGGTCCACAAAAGATAACTGTTTCTTTGGATGCTATGTCGCTTTTCGCCAGTGCTCTTATTTGTGAATTAATCAGTTTTCCTAATTAGTTATGGCACTTCGCTTAAGTTTTGTCATTTCAGAAGAAAATACTGAAATCGATGAGCAGACCAAATAAGTGTTGAACACTGATAGAGCATAGCAGCGGTAGGTGAGTGGGACTTGGGCACTAGGATGAGCTACAAAATGCTCTAGTTTGGTAGCGTGATTGACCTTTCACAGAACAGTGGTAGATGCCATTGTTCGTGAAAAGAAACGTTGTAACCCCAAATAGTTGATAAGCTTGACGAACAGCCTCATGATCATTGGACTCACAGCTTAAAAGATCCGAACCTGTATGACGAAACCGTAATGGCGACCCCGAACTGAGGATCCTCTACACCTCATCCGAATGAACCAAGAAACCTACGGCAATTATTCACACAGTCGCGAATGCAGCTAGCATGCTGACCGTTTCTCTGTCTGCTTACGAAGTCGATTGAATTTTTAAAGTGATTCACATGGCATTTGGTGAATCACTAAATTTGCGAGTTTTGTTCCAAACTCCACCAGGGACAGCTATCCCTAGGTCGTCTCTAGGCATGCCTAATTGACTGAAATTATATAAAGACTGGTTGAGATAATGTTACCACCTCTGCGCTCATCTGCTGCAACACAAAGTGAAGTCACATCTGGAAGTACTCTTTCCTTCTAAGATCGGAAACATTTGTTCATACCAAATCCACTTCATCGGATGATTATTCTTAAATTTATTTCGTATCAGCAGGATACAAGTGAATAGTTAAATGATGCAAAGTACGGTGAATTAAAATGGATATTCATCAAAAGACAACTTTTCGATGATCGTGGGCCAAATTACCAGATCGCTCTATTTAGCTGGCGCCTAGCTATGGTTTGATTCACGTCCTTCTGTGTAGTAGTAACCTTTCATGAGGGCTAATCATCATTAATCCCCACTTCTAGTGATATCCAAATCGATCAGTGAGAAGGCCGGAATAACGAATGAATGTTTTGTTCGGTTTACAAGCAACCAAACATTTCTGGTACCCCAATGACATTTCATCAAGTGGATCAGCTTGCATTCTTCATGTGCCAACCCACTGCCACGTGGCCCTAATTGCCATCATGACAGCAGAAATCGTGGATTCGTTTCATAGAGTTTATGTGTGCATTAACTTGATTCATTAGCCCGGCTGTTGTGAATGATGCCCGGCAAACCGGAAGTGATTGATGCGATGGGCTGTTCTGTCATGTAGGTTTGGGCAGATGAATACTTGTTTCAGGGAGTGTCCTAGAAAACTCGCACCCAGAGAATCAGATTCCAACAGGTTCATGTGGCCGGAAAAATGCGTATTCTC